GGTGAATTTGTGTTATACAGCGATGCTTCTAAAAAGGGATTGGGTTGTGTGCTGATGGAGGATAGACGAGTGGTAGCGTATGCATCAAGGCAATTGAAACCGCATGAAGAAAATTATCCGACCCATGACCTTGAGCTTGCTGCAATTGTTTTTGGGTTGAAACAGTGGAGGCATTTCTTGTATGGAATGAAGTTTGCCATATTCAGCGATCACAAGAGCTTGAAGTACTTGTTTGATCAAAAGGAATTGAATATGAGACAACGACGGTTGACCGAATTCCTAAAAGACTATGATTTTGAATTGAAATATCATCCTGGCAAGGCTAATGTTGTAGCTGATGCACTGAGCCGTAAATCTGTGAGCGTATCAAGCATGATGATTAGAGATTATGATGTGATTGAGAGGTTCAGAGATATGCAATTATCTAAAATCTTTCCATGTAGAATTTGTGGCATCGAAATTACAAGCATTGAAAATGAACTGATGACCAGAATTAAAGAAGCTCAACTGCAAAATGAAAGTGCTAAACGACTGAAAGGTCAGAGTGGTGTATCCTGCAATGATGAGGGTATACTATTATATCAGGGTTGTGTTGTAGTACCTAGGCAGTTGGCGGAGGAAGTAATGACAGAGGCCCATAAAGGTCATTTCACAGTTCATCCGAGAGCTACAAAGATGTATCAGGACCTAAAGATTAATTTCTGGTGGCCTGGTATGAAGAAAGACATTGCCGAATTTGTCTCTAAGTGTCTCATTTGTCAGAAGGTCAAGATTGAGCATCAAAAGCCTTCTGGTATGTTGCAACCTCTGGATGTTCCTGAATGGAAATGGGAGAGTATCTCCATGGATTTCGTAGTGGGATTGCCGCGAACACAGGCTACTTATGATTCTATATGGGTGATTGTGGATAGATTGACAAAATCTGCACACTTTTTGCTAGTTCGGGTAGATTTCTCTGCTGAGAGATTGGCTAGGCTCTATGTGAAGGAGAATGTGAGGCTTCACGGGGTGCCTGAGAACATTGTTAGTGATCGGGACCCGAAGTTCACTTCTCGCTTCTGGGGAGCATTGCAGGAGGCTCTTGGCACTCAGTTGAGACTGGGCACTGCTTATCACCCACAGACGGATGGTCAGACTGAGAGGACCATTCAGACGTTGGAGGATATGCTGAGGGCTTGCACCCTGGAGCAGGGTACTGCATGGGATCGATATCTCCCGCTGGTTGAGTTTTCATATAATGATAGTTTTCATGCGAGTCTGGGTATGGCTCCCTACGAGGCCTTGTATGGTCGCAGGTGTATGACACCTACTTGTTGGTCAGAGGTTGGAGACACAGAGCGGTTTGGATTGGATTTTGTTCAAGAGACTACTTAGCAGATCAAAATGATTAGGGATCATCTGAAAAAGGCTCAGGATCGTCAGAAAAGTTACTATGATCTCAAGCATCGACCTCTAGAGTTTGAGGAGGGAGATCATGTATTCCTGAAGCTGTCACCGGTTACGGGTGTTGGACGAGCCCTTGGAGTGAGGAAGCCGAGTCCGAGATTTATTGGACCCTACCAGATTCTTCGTAGGGTGGGACCGGTTGCCTACTAGCTTGCCTTACCTCCGCAATTAGCAAATTTGCATGATGTGTTTCATGTTTCTCAGTTGAGGAGATATGTAGCTGATCCTTCTCATGTGGTTCAACCTGATAATGTTGAGATCCGGGAGAATTTGAAGACTCCTATTGGGCCACTGAAGATACTCGAAAGAGATGAGAAGAAGCTGAGAAATAAATCTATTCCTATGGTGAAAGTCCAATGGGAAGGAAGGACACCTGAAGAGTCCACTTGGGAGCGGGAAAACGAGCTTCTCCGGCAGTATCCTAAGTTTAAGGACAGGTACGTTCTTGATTTTGCGGACAAAATCGCTAAAAGGTGGGGTGACTTTAATAGCCCTAACCTAATTAATTAGCAAATTACATGTAATTAAATAATTAAGAATGTTTTAGTGAGTAAAATTAAGTATAAGGCTTAATTAAATGAATCTGAGTCACTTTGGAGTTAAAAAGTGTACTCAGTGAAAATTAAGGGGTATAAATGGGTACTGGCGAAAGTGCCCAAAGTATAAAAATAAAATTATAATATTTCTAGAATAATATTCCAGACTTTTGGGTAAAGTTTGGTCATTATTGGAGTTAAATAGATAGACGAACCAATACCCGCTTAAAGTCACTTAACCTATGTTAAGTGACTAAAACACAAAAAAAAGAACCCCAAACCCCCCATTTTCCCGTCGAGCAAACAGAGGGAGAGAAGAAGAAGAAGAAAAGAAGAAGAAAGGGAGAGAGAAGAAGAGAGAGAGGAGGGCGCAAATCCCAACCGTTTTGGGTGATTCAAAAGCCTAAACCACTCTAAATCTTCCCCTCTTTCATAATCCTAGCTTAGTTCTTAGTGGGGAGCTTTGTGTGGTGAGATATTGGCTCTCAAAAATTCGCCCATTTGGTGAAATTTGGGGTTTTGGGAATTTCTACCTCCATGGGAGCTTGAGGAGCGCTCCTTGCTTGGTTGTATTAATGCTATTTACTTCAAGGTTAGGAATGCATGATGAATATTGGAAATGTTGAGCTGAATTGTCTATTAGGAGCTAGGCTATTAGATTGGGAAACGTTGAGAAAACAAAAGTTAAGCTGCCCAATTTTCCGTTAAATCAATGATGAGAGGATGAGAGTTAAGCAATGATATAGGGATATCGCAAGCTTGTTAAATAGGTTGTAAAATGTGTAGGATTGATAACCCATGTAAAAACAAAGATACCCTATCTTGGTGTCCAATTTTCGTGTCCTATATGATAGATTTGGACCCTTGTGCCTTAATGGAAGTTGTAGATAATTTTCTTAGCTTTCCATAGATACCAAGATTGTGTAATTTGGATAAGTATAACTAAAGTTATGATTGGAAAACCATAGGTAGGTTAAATGATCTTGTTTTGGGTCACCCAGCCCTGTGGATGGCGCCTGGGGCGCCAGATTCACGCTTGGGGCGCCAAATTACAGAACCAAACAGTAGAATCCACGCTGAGGGCGCCACTTCCACCCTGGGGGCGCCAACTTTCTGCCTCCTGGGACGATCTCACGCTACGGGCGTGGGAATCCACGCTAAAAGCGTGGGAGTCCTGCAAAGTTCCGTATCCTTTTCTTAGAAAATGCATAACTTTGGCTACGGTGCTCCGATTTGAGCGCGGTTTGAATCCACGCGTAGCTAATGAAAAATACTATAACATAGTAGAAGATGGGAATAATAAAAGAAGTTTAGAATTAATTTTATAATTAAAGTGATGAAGACATTTAACGACCTATTGTCATGTAGAATGGGAATATAATATTAAGTTTATCCCACTATTCCGCGAAGTATATATAGTTATGATCACGCACTTGGTTATTTAAATCCGGCTTGTTTAAAAAGGAAAAATTTATCCGGTTTTCTAATTGAACCAATGTGATTGTAACCGCGCTTAATGCCGTACGCAATGATAACAATCCGGTTCTAGAACGAGGTGTTAGAAGTATGTACTATGACTATCGATGCATGCGAATAACTTAGAAAAATTTTGAATAATTTTTTCTGACGGGCTAAATATATATAGACACCGATCAGACACGATGAATTGCCGCCAGCGAACCGATGAACCGCCACCGGTGAATCGTTACAACCGACGACAGTGAACCAATTAAAATAACCAAACACACCATTTCTGTTCAAAACGACGAGAAGGAACCGAAGCATCCTTGTTGGTTCAAAATTGGTGGGGAGCAATGGATAAGACAGTGGCATTTTGGACCAAAAATTAATAAAAAATTATTTTATTTCTCTCACACCGACAGATCAAGCTGAGTCGGGCTGGTGGCAATTCGCGCTTGTTGGTGGACCAAGGCCCACCTATGTCCTCTCTCTTCCACAAAAGTGGTGTGCCCCAAGGGGCAAACTAGAGAGATGAGGTGGAGGCTTATAAACTCTTCCACTTCTCATGTCTTGTCTAATGTGGGACTTTTACTCACACACCCCTTTCTCCTTCCCTCTTTCTCTTCTTCCTCGAACCACTTCTTATCAATGATTCCTATTTTGAATTAAGATTGGCTTAGACTCTTCTGGTCTAGAGCCTTTGATACCCATTAAGACAAATTGTTTGGGATAAGAAAAGTAGTCTGATCGCTTATCCCTTAGACATAGAATAAGAGATCATATTTGCCACTTATTTTGAGTTGTTTCTAAATAATATGGACCCATAGAGTGAGTCTAGAATATTTTTCTTTGAAGTGTTTTTAAATTCCAAACTTTTAGCCTTTGATAATGGTAAAGTAATCATGAATTCAAACGAAAATTTTGTTAACCGATACCTGTTGCACTTCATTCAAATGGTACCACATGTGTTACTGTCACATGTTTTCCAAAAGGTTCTTATCACATTTTGCTCTGTTTTTTTTTTTCAATCAAAATTATCATTCCAATAATATAATTTTAGAAAATAATCATCTCTCAAATTTTAATAATAAATTAAATATTTTGTAACAAATTATCATACTTATATCATGCGTATATATTTTGTTAAAATATATAATTATTCAATTGAGTGAAATCAAAATTTTTTACTAAGTCGGTCTTTCTTTCTTTCTCTTTTCCTTGATATCCTACTAAGTCGGTCTTTTATGACAAAATAAACGACCCCAATAATATAATGATAATATTTAAACTAACTAGGACTATGATTTAAATATATTATTGAAATAATTTTAAAGTTATTATTCATATGAAAACATATAATTCAAATTTAAATTTGATTGAAGAATATACATACAGTACCAATAGAAATTATAAAAATTTAAAGAATGAGTAATAAAACAAATATAATTACAAAATATATATGTATAGAACAAATAGAAATGATTTTCCTCTAACAATCCTCTCTAAATGATGAATTGAGAGATTGCTTCAGATCACAGAAGATACCACCCTGCATGGCTAAGTCTTCATCATGCTCAAAAAATTGAGCAATGGTTTATCTGAGACAGGTATGAACTTCACAACCCATCCAATTGGCCATGAAATTGCAGCAAGACCAATACAAAGGGCCCATTGGCCCCAGTTTAACCTCTCTGTATCAGCAAACTTCTTGAGAAACTCAACCATCACAACCTGAAGTATTATTGTTATGCCAATAATTCCCAAAAACAACTTGCTCCTATGTATTCCCTTGAAAACATTCTTCTTCTCCATGTTCCTTGCATTGAACTCATTGAAGACTTGGCAAAGAACAAAAGTATTGAAAATCAATGTGTCATTTACCTCTGATGTCACACCAAAGATGGACTCACCTTTGAATTGAAGAGTCAGCAAAACTACTATCTGATACAAAGCTTGAGCTAATAGATTCCTCCACATGATATTAGTAATAAGAGGTTTGGTTCTACCTACTGGTGGTTTCTCCATCAACTCCATGGTTGGTTTTTCTGTTGCAAGAGCCAAAGCACCTAATGTGTCCATGATCAAATTCACCCATAACAATTGCACTGCTGTTAGTGGCACTTCCCCAGCTGACACTGCTGCTACAAAGTTGATTGCAAGTGCTGCAACATTCACTGTCAATTGAAACTGAATGAACTTTTGGATGTTATTATAAACACATCTTCCCCACCTTAAGACTGTGACAACAGAAGCAAAATTGTCATCCAATATAACAATATCTGAGCTCTCTTTGGCAACTTCAGTGCCTTGAATTCCCATAGAAAGTCCAATATCAGCTTCCTTGAGTGCTGGTGCATCATTTGTGCCATCCCCAGTAACAGCAACTACATGGCCTTTCTGTTTTAGGCATTGAACCATTAAAAGTTTATCAAAAGGAGAGGATCTAGCCATCACACAGATTTTGTCAACCTTCTCCAATCTTTCCTCAGGTGTGAAGTTTCTAAATTCCTCTCCTTCAATCACTGCTCCATCTGTGTCCTGATTAGGCCTAAGTATGCCACATTCTGTTGCTATAGCTTTTGCAGTGAAAACATTGTCACCTGTGATCATTTTGACATTTACACCAGCATGTTGGCAAGCTTCCACAGCTTTCTTCACACCTGGACGACATGGATCCTTAATTCCCACAAGTCCTAACAAGGTTAAACCATTGTCTTTTACCATTGTGCTACCTTCTTCATCTCCAACTTCTACATGTGCAAAAGCAATGCAACGAAGACTACTAGCTGCCATACCTTGAATAATGTGTTCAAATTTCAACTTACTATCATTGTCAAGATCTTTCACAATGCCAGAAGCATCATAATATCTTGAACACAATTTTAGCACCATCTCTGCTGCTCCTTTCCAGTGTGCATGAACTTTGTTGTCTTCCTTCCTTCTCAGCAAAACCCCACTTCTTTTCTTCTTTGAGTTGAAGGTCTCAACTTGAAGGATAGAACAGCTTTTTGTCAAGTGCTCCATCTCCATGTTCAATTCCAAAACAGCCCATGATAGGATTGCTTTTTCTGTGGGACTACCTGAAAATTCAAACTCAGAATCTGATTTAGACTTTTGCACACTACCAGTTGTATTGAGAGCCACTCCTTCTTGGATCAATTGAAGAACATATGGAGCAACTGAAGAGTATGCACCCACTGCTACAGGTTCTAGGCCAAGCCAAAACTTGGTCACCTTCATCTGGTTGAGCGTGAGTGTGCCTGTTTTGTCAGTACAAATGGTTGTAGCAGACCCCATAGTCTCACATGCAGATAGTTTTCTCACCATTGCTTGGTCTGCCATCATTTTCTTCATTGAATAAGCCAATGTAAGAGTCACTGCTAGTGGCAGACCCTCAGGGATTGCAACAACAACAATAGTTACCGCATCAGCAACAATTCCAACCACTGCATTCATTATCTCATTGAACTTAGTCTTGCTTCCATTGAACTCTCTAACACCATTCTCATCCTTTGTGTTTCCTGTGAAGTAACGAATCAACAAAACAACAAGGACTAGAAAAGCCACAGACAAACCAACCTTCCCAATGAATGAGGTAAGCTTGTTTAGCCTTGCTTGCAAAGGAGTTTGCTCATCAGTATCCTTGCTGATTGAACTCATCATTTGGCCCCATGTTGTGTTCATACCAACTGAGGTAACTAGCATTTTAGCATACCCATCAGCAACTTTGGTGCCAGAGAACAAGAATGGGTGGTGATTTCTATTAACCTCCACATGATCACTCTCCCCAGTCATGCTTGATTCATCCACTCTCAATGAATGTCCATCTATGAATAATCCATCCGCTGGTACTTGATCTCCAATCTTCAAGCAAATGACATCACCAACCACAATTTCAAAGATTGAAATCTGTTGGCGCCTACCACTTCTCACCACATCAATTTGTATATCATTGCTCACTTGAGATAACTTGTCAAATTGTCTGTTCTGTCTAAAGTTGCTTATGGAAGACATGGAAATGACAATAAACACAGCAAGAAAAATGCTGCCACCATCATACCAACCTTCTTTGAGGCCATGCTCCTTAATGCCAAAGCCAAGGGAAAGTGCTGCACAAGCCAAGAGGATGAGAATGGTCACATCCTTAAAGGCTTCCAACACAAAATGAAAGAAGCCTTTAGAAGGAGGTTTGTTGTAACTATTGGAACCAAACACTTCTTGTCTACGTGCAATGTCTTCAGCATCAGCATCATCATCACCTTTGATACCATATTCAACGTTGGTTTCAAGAATTGAAGCCAACCCTTCAACCCCACCATATTTCTCAAGGCTCTTAAGGTTTTTCTCTTTGACAATCTCAGTGAGACTTGTTTGATCAACAGCAAAGGATTGGTGTGAACTCAAATCAACCACGGTGAAAGATGGATGATAAGGTGAGGTTTTTTCTTTCTTTTTGTTGGTTTTGTTGAGAATGAAGTGTGACACAAGGGCTCTAGAACAATAGATGGAAAGGAAAGCAGAGTGCCATCTTTTAATGGGTGCACTAATGGTGTTTGGGGCATTGAGTAGTACTATCTCGGTGCGGTTCAAGTTTGTAAACAAGCTCATTGACATGGTGTCAAGAACAAAGCAGCAACAACAACAATAATAATAATAATAAGATGATGACGATGAAGAAGAAGAAGAAAGCCACAAAAACTATGTGAAGAAGGAAATGAATTGAAAGAATGAAACTATTTCTCACACAAATTGTTTTGGAACGAAAGAGTGAACACCTTAGATATTGACCTATTGATGCCAAATTGTAACTTATATAGACATAGATTTAGGAATAAAAATATGTTACGCGTATACGTTAGAATTCTTAATATTCAAGAAAATGAGTCATTCTCTTAATGAAATGAAAAAGGCCTTGCATGCGAATCTTATGATTGGAACATCAATTGAAGTTTTTGTTAGTTGGAGATCCTTGGTCGAAGGAACCCGCATGTTTCGAGGAAGTAGTATGGTACAGTCGACGCAAGATTCCAAAACGAGGTAGCTAAGCTAACCACACGCTTTGTACACTATTGCGTTCTTTCTTTTATTTTGTCATATTCTCAGGTGGTTACAACAATTTAAGAGTAACATTTCAGACTTAGTATTAATATATTTTTTTCATTTTTTTTTGGAGACATTAGTATTAATATTTCAAGTTAACATTATTAAGTAAATTGAAAATTAATAGAACTTATTTATATTAAATATTTTTAACAAGTACTTTTTTCCATTGACTTCAACTATAATATTTTAATTTAATTAATGATGTCAAGATAATTTGGATAATTACTTAATTTTTGCAGATTACTTTTAAAACATAATATTTTTCATTCTACCTTTTCCCTTTCGGAAACGTGGTCACCTTTCCTTTACGGGGGATTATTTTTCTTGTGTTGCAAAAAGAGATTTATCTCGAGCTTTAAAAATATAAATATCTACTTCAGGGAGCACATAGTTATATTTTTAAAGCTGTAAATTTTTTTTCTCCTTTCAGAATTATTGGCTGACGTGACGGAAAGAGAAAAAATAATTTTTCGATTACAATTATATACTCTTGATAGTACATAGTTAATTTTTTTTTTTTTGGCTGCAAATAACTCTTTCCTGTAACAGTAAATGAAACCCTTTCTTTTTTCACTTAAAAGTTAAAAAGTTGGCCTCTTAATTAGACACATTCTTTTTGAGCAAAACGCAAAAATATATATATGGCACATAAAATGGGAAAAGTTAAATAACTAATTGTGAACTGAAGAAGTTATCTTCGCCATTAAGTTTTGAAAGGGATTAAATCAAGATCGGCTATTTCGATGTTAATTAAGTTTGTGTTCTAAAAATAAGATTTAGTATATTAGATTTTCAGTCATAAACGGACTTTACAAAATAGAAATTAACAGGTTTTACTCAATCTCCTGCATACCATGTATTTTCTATTCATCAGTGTTTTTCTCCCAACACGATCATTATTCTATCATAATTGACGGCAAATTAATTTAAATATTATTTTTTAATAATAAATTATAAAAACGTAGTTTTAAAACTATTTATGTAAGTATAGCACCCAAACACGTCTACATGGTGCATGAGATGGAGAAGAGAGACACCCAAGTGGGAAGTGATAGAGGAGAGAGACACGGCCACATGGGCGTGTTACAATGTTGACACGTGACATAAAAAATCAAGAGTTTACCCATAAAATTTTAAAAGTCTATAACTTTTGACTCGAGTATCCGAATTAGGTAATTTTCTTTTTTGATTCCACACAATTTTTTGAGATCTACACAATAACATATCATTTGACATATTTTGTCTCTCACAAAAAAAATTCAAATTTAACATAATGATACTATAACAACGTTTAAAGTTTAAACTCAGATTAATAAAGAGAAAACCACAGTCACGATTAGAAACATTCATAGTAAAAATCCTTATAATTATGGTACTATTGTTACCAATTGAAATTTTTAACTGCTTTTATTTTTTCTCTTCACAATTTTTATTTTTCTCTATCACGTCACATGGTCGAGTTCCTTTTATTTTTATCTTTTTTGTGCTTTTGGATAGATGCACATGGTGTCCTCTACCGTTACCCGCGAAAGGAATATTGTCAACTACAGACCATAAATGAAAATAGCAACAGATCTTTATGACATTTTATTTGAGGAATTAATAAGATAAGTTTTTTCTGCGGCCAATAGCTAACATATTGCTTATTCTAAAATTGAGGGTTCTATTTACAAAAAAAAAAATAAAAAAAATTGAGGGTTCTACATAAGTTGACTTCCAAAATTTTGGACTTTCAAAATTTTATAGTTAAATTGTTGACTTTTTGTGTCACGTGTCAATATCCGGTGAAACATGTCCCATTGGAGCATGTCTCTTTCCACCAGTTCACGCCCTCCATGGGACGTGTTAGAGTGCTATATATTTGTAAATACATTAAAACGACTACATTTTCATAATTTTTTATTAAAAAAATAATATTTAAATTTTTTTGACCATAATTGAGTGTTGGCTGGTTTAAAAAAAATTGACTCAAATCAAAATATTAAGTCATTATTGACTCAAGTGAAACCCCCACTATACTCCAAGAGTTTATAGTGCTGCCACATTTCATAGAAAGAAAATCGTAAATCCCAAGCAGCCGTATTTAAGGCAAACAGAGAAACGGTAGAATCAACGTAAATTTGACTTTGAATGGTCAAAATCTTAATTTGAAAAGTAAGAAGATTGCAAAATTGTCGCTATCAATAGAATTAGCACACAAAGATACAGAAAAGGATTAAAAGACTTGTGTAAATTTCACACCATTTTATTGTCACTACGTACTATTAAAGCTTAATTATAATAAAATTTGTAGCATAAAAAGTTGGGTTTAGAATTTCTCCAATTACAAGAGATAAAACTATTCCTTGCAATTATAAATTAAAACAATATCATTTTGGCCTTATAACATGATGCATGATGAAGTTTGAGTGGAGAATGTTCCATCTTTCTTCTTTTTTTTGTAATCCATGTTCCATCTTTTATTTGTAATCCCTTGCAGTTATGAATAGTAGTCTTTTTTTTTTTTTTTAAAAAAACGTTATTCGAGCATTGATATTGCTCATCATGATTATATTCAAGCATTTGCATTTACAGTTTCATTTAAATTTAAATTTAAAATTAAAGTGCCGTACAAATTAATTTCGTGGCCGTAGCTATGTAGCACTGATACGACACGCGACAGGTGACACGACACGACAAGACACTCTGACACGTCAATCCTAAAAAATTATGGATTTCGACACGTTGGGACACGTTTTAATATTAAATAATATTTTTAATTTATATAGTGTATATTTCATTTAATATTTAATAATTTAACAAAAAAATGAAACTAAATTAATAATACCCATCAACACGTTATAAAGATGGAAGCTTTAATAAAAAAAATAAGAACTGAGATGAGAGAGGGATATAATATCAGATAGAGAGATCAAATCATATTAGAGAGATTAGAGAGAAGAAGAACAACAAGAGCGTGATAGGAATTGACAACAATGATACTGAGATGATCTCTTATTTACTTAAGGGGAAAAAAGACAAAAAAATAAAATTGATATGATCAGGTGGAAGCTTTATTAATATATTTTAACTTTTAAAAAAAATATAATTTTTTTAAAAAAAAAATTAAAAAAAATTACGAAAATGCCATTTGACCGTGTCGGACACGGTCAAATTCGCGTGTCGGAATGGTCAACGTGTCGAAAAAATTCAACCGCGTGTCCGACACCGTGTCGGAGCGTGTCGGACCCGACTCTTCCTACTTTTACAAGTATCCGTGCTTCCTTGGGCCGTAGTGTGCAGAATGTAATAACTTATTGAAAGGTCAGTATTTTTTTCTTTATTTTTGAATCTTTTATTTTAGAATTTTATATTATTTTGTAATGTAAAAAATTTGTGTAAATTTCGAGGTCTAAATAACATTTATGAAAAAATAAATAAATACAAAATTTTACATCACTGTCACCATTCAATTAAAATCTTGACATCATTCCTCACCAAAAAAAATAAAAATAAAAATTTGACATCATTCTTTCGTCGAAATGCTCAATTTTGTCACATGTTGTTGTAATGTTTGACGTATTCAATGCGACGCGGCAAATGGAAATTAAACTTCTTGCTAAGATCTTGTAATTCAAATGGATGTTGTTTAATATAGAAATGAGAAAAAAAAAATAATTAAAATAAAGAAAAACTTGCGAATAAAAGGGCAATCACTCATTCTTAAGACCAAAGAATCGGGCGGAAAGGGAGGGGGGGAAGATCCCCGTTCCCGTTTCTCCTGTAGCTGGATCTTTCGGAACCACAAGAATCCTGAGTTAGAACTTGTTGTTTAATACACCAAAAGAAGTTAGTTCAAGTGGTATATGCTTAATTTCACTTAAATAATATTTTGGGTTCAAGTCTTTGAAAAAAATTATCTTTTATAAAGTTAATTTCACTATAATGTAAATATTCTCGGTTCAAACAGAATAATCTCACGTGAAGATCCGTGGTTTATCCAAAAATGTCCGCAGAAATCATCAACATTTGTCAAGCGTTGTTGACATGTTTGACGTATCCGATTGACGCGTAAAATGACTAACAAAACTTTATACTGACATCATGTAATTTAAATGGATAATATTCAATAGGAATGAGAAATAATAATAATAAAAAAACCATGGAATTTTTTTTTTTAATTTATTAGTCTCATGTTTAGAATCAGATTATTGTTTCTTTTAATATTCACAATTCAACCAACTACTCTTAAATATAATTTTTATTATTTTTGATTTATTCCTTAAAAAATTAGGGTTAATATTAAATTATTTTCTTCATTCGATTATGATGCTTAAGAAAGGAAATATTTATAATTATTAAGATATAATTTTGACGATCATTTGCTGTCAGGTTCAAGTCAAATTATGGAATGAATAAACATTTAAAAATATACATGATCGAACTAATTAAGATTGCTTTAAAAATTTTGTAATCAAAACATAATTATGATTCATTAAGTCAATTAAAAATCTAACATATTACCTAATTAA